CTTGGGCAGGTAGATGAACATAGCTCTTCTCCCATACCTTCACAGCTCCAGACACACCTGTGGCCTCAGTCCCCTAACCCACCTGCCCAGGAGCCACCTGCAGCCAGGACACTCGCTCGCTGTCTGTGCTTGATCCATCTGGTTCCTTAGCTGGATCCAGGGGATGTAGGCCATCGTGGGCAGCCCCTGTGTAGCCTACCCTGTAGAATGTGACACCAAAGGTCAAGTAGCTGATCCCTATGCGACAGGCCTTGAGCCATGGTCCCTAGATGGCTAAGCCAAAAGCTCCTCTCCCCAGGCCTGTTACTATAACATTTAGTTACTTGGTCCACAGACATGCCCCATGCACTGTCCCACACCCTGAGACGCAGCAGTGCTCAAGGCAGCTCCTGTTTTCAAGGCTGTTATCTGGGGAGAGATGGGAAGGAACAATCCCAGAGGAAATGCCAGATACTGGAGGTGCTCTGAAGGAAGCAGGATAGGGCCACCTGGTGTAGTGGCTTGGCGGATGCTTTAGGTTGATGTCAGGGGAGTGTCTCTGGGGAAGTGACTTGCAAGCTGAGGTCTGGAGTGGGAGTCAGTTGTGTTGAAGTGGGGGGAGAACACTCTAGGCAGAGAGAAAGTGTAGAGGCCTTGGGTGGAGACAGGACAAGGTATGGTTAAGGGAGCGTAGAGAGATGGGGCTAGAGTTAGCGAGCAAGGGTAAGATGGTAGGGACACAGCCAGAGTGTTCTGGAGGCCTTGATGACCACAGAAGGGAGTGTGTGTTCATGGGGCCTTGTGGGGCTTTTAGGCAGGGAGTAGCGCAGCTGGGTGGTACTTTGTGAGGTCACTGTATGGAAAAGGATGACTGGGTTGGCAGGAACAATGTAGAAGTAGGGAGTCAATATAGAGGCCAAGGCAGTGACCTAGACCTGGGAGAGGAAACTAGCTGGCCAGCCCAGCTGTGGCAGTGAAGAGGTGGTTGTCCTTGGGGTTTGTAGCTAGAGTTGCTGGGGCATAGATATGGGATGGGAAGGCTGTGAGACTGTGGTGGGTGTACAGCCACTTGCTGAGATGGGGAGGCTGAGAAGAGAACCCAACTTCATTCCATCCTGCTCTTTCATGGGAGGTAGTGATAGGATCTCAGCTGGGGCCCTGGCAGGTTTGTAGTGTCTTTTGGGCACCCAAACACAGGTAGCCCATTGGCTATTGTCTGAGTTTGGAGGTCAGTGGAGTGGAGATTTGGATAGCAAAGTGGCAGGGGAAAATGTAGGACAGGGTGAACTCGCCCAGGAGTGGAGCCCAGGCCTTGCTGCCCTGGCCCAGCCCTGCCCTGAGCTGCCTGTGTCTAATGCTGGCCCAGGTTGTTTTAAAGGAGGCAGTGTCCACAGAGCATGGGAGGAAGTGTTCCATTTGCATGTCTGATAAGGATTTAGTGTCTGGTTTATATAAAGAACTCTTCCAACTCAAGACAACCTAATTTAAAAATGGGCAAAGGATTTGAACAGACATTTCTCTAAAGGAGATACAAGAGGCCAATAAGCCTATGGCAAGATGCTTCCCATCGTTAGCATTTAGGGAAATGTAAGTGAAAGCCATGTGGGAGATGAATTTGCACCCACGAGGATGACTATGCAGCCAAACACACGGGGGTGACAAGGATGTGGAGAACGGGATGCTTCATCTTTGCTGGTAGAGATAGACAGTGGTGTGGCCCTGTGGAAAACAGTTCCTCAGAAAGTCAGACGCAGAGCTGCCATGTGCTCTAGTGGTGCCATTCGGAGGTGCATGTCCAAGAGAATTAAAGGCATGGCCAAACAGAACTTGCACACGAATGCTCGCAGCATTATTCATCATAGCCTGAAAGTCGCCACAACCCTGAAGTCCATCTGCTGGTGGAGGATAAAGGTAGCATGGCACATATAGATGATGGAATGCCAGTCAGCCATGAAGAAGAGTGGGCTCTGGCACATGGCACAACGTGTGAAGTTGGAAAACATGCCATCTGAAAGAAGCCAGAGACAAGAAGACAAGTGTCATGTAATTCTCTTTATGAAATGTCCAAAATAGGAAAATCTGCAGCGATAAAATGTAGATGAGTGGTTCCCAGGGGCTTGGGATTAATTGCAAATAGCACAGGATGGCTTTTTGGAGTAATGGGAACATTCTGGAATCAGTAGTAGTGGTTACACAGCATAGTGAATGTGCTAAACACCACTCTGGTACACATTCAAGGTGGCGAGTTTTATGTTAAGTGAATTTTATCTCAACAGTAATAAAACAATTGAAGAAATACGAGCAGTAGTGTGTGTACTACACATGAGCAAGCCTCCAGCAGACCACAGCCAGCTGTGCCCAGTTCTGGGCCAGCTTTAAGCCTCAGTAGACTGGGGCTAGCCTGAGAAAGGCAGCAGGGGTGAGAGCCCAGAGCTGTCAGAGGCAGGCAGCTTTAGGAGCTAGGGGTCTCACCTGTAGACCAGAAGGCTGAGATAGGCTGCCACTGCCATCTGAGGTGGCTCGCTGTTGTGCTTCCACTCTTGAGGGACTCCACTGTCCACAGCCTGCTTCTATACCTGTGATCCTGCCTGTCCAGAGCCCTGCCCAACAGTTATTCACATGCCCGGGTGGTTTGTGTTGCCAGATCCTCTGCTGAGGCCGGACCGCCATCATTTCCTTTAATTTTCTAAACACCCCAGGAACACATATTACCCCTGCATTCTAGAAAGGAAACCCAGGCCTGACATGGCAGAGTGGCCTGCCCTCGGGTGCAGAGCAAGTACTCACTGAATCATGCATCCCATCTGGTGTGGCTTGGGGGAAGAGCCAGGCCCTGTAGGTTTTGGTCACAGATTGACACCACATAGACTATTCTAAAAAGGTGTGGTCAATAGTTTAAGCTACACAGCAAATCCCCCATCCCTAGAGACCTTGAGCAGCAGGGTCTACAGGGCAGTGTCTGGGGTGCAAGGCAAACAGCCCTAAAGGCCACAACTTCAGCACAGCCCTGCCCCTCTTGGCTAGCTCAGGATTTGGGTGTGACGGGGGCCTGCTGGGCTGGAAAGCTGATCCCTTCTCATATGCTTCATCTCCTAGCCCTGAACTCAAACTCCGTCCCAGCCCAAGGGGCTGCACACCGCTAACCTGCTGGAGAATCAGGACCTCCAGAGAGGGCTTCAGCTGATGGCCAGAACAGCAAGCACACAGGTCCCAGAAGACCCTGGTCATGCTTCCTGCCTGCCTGCACCACAGCTCTGAACAGCTGAGGGACTGCCCCAGATTTTCGGAACCTGAGCCCCAAAGCTCTGAGACCCAGCATATTTTACCCAAAATCGAATCCATCTGGTTCTCGTTTATTTACACTTAACTCATCAAATGCAGTTTTGCAAGAGCCACTCGATAGCCAAGAGGCATTATGCTTCAGCTGCCCCTGCCCTTCTGAAGGGTGCTGGGCTGGGCCAGGCTACAGCCTCAGGACCAGGTGGGAGCCCTCAGTGCAGTAGGTCTGGCTGCCTCCCAGGATACTCCTCTGCCTCTGTTCCTGCCCTCAGTGGGAGCTGGAGCCAAGCAGGCCTGACACACAGTAGGCTCCGGCAGTCGTGGAGACACAGTGGGAAGCAAGCACATACAGTCTCTGTTTCAAATCACAAACATTCATGGGAAACACAAAGCAACCAAAACTGGATCCAGAAGTAATTTTTAGTTATAAATAACTACAAACCTGAATTCTTGGTCCAAAGGAAGACAGACAGCCAGCTATTAATCAAAACAAACACTAGCACCTTGCGCCAAAAAGCAAACCTCAAGGGCAGACCACAGTCCTGCCCATAGAGGCCTTCTGGAAGCAGACGCCCTGATGGTCTGCTGGCGTAGCTCTGGGGACCCCTCCTGCTGGAAAACAACCCTGTCACTCAGCGAGACCCCATCCCCTATGTGACCCTTGAGAGGTTGGCAGGGAGTAGGGTGGGGGCCTTAAGGCAGGTGCCTACTGAGCAGATGCAGCAGGAGTCACAGCTAAGGCCGTCCACTCCCCACCCCAATGCCAGACCTGTGCTCATGCAGGGCACTGCAGAGTGAAGCCAGGGAACCTGATTCCAGAGACCCTGTTGGGTCCTTGGTGCAGTGGCACCATGTCCTTATTCAACTAGAGTCCTCAGTGGCCATTGGCCCATGGAGAAGAGATCAGGAAGGGGTGCTGGAGCCATGGAGAGTAGTGTACAGATGTACACCGAGGACACTGAGTGTAGGGAGACACTGAGGTGCAAGCCAGAGCTGTGCCCTGGGAGCTGGACAGACAGCTGGGCAAGGTGGTAAGCACAAGATAACAGCCCCAGTGATGGGTCGGTGAGTACAGAGGGAAGGAACTCCAGGGACAAGATGCTCATGCCTAGGTGGCTGGGTGGAGTCAGGGCCATGAGCTGAGCTGGAGTGAGGCCCTCCTTTGCCCCATGCCAGGCCTGCCTTAGCACCTTGTCTGTCTCCGATCCTCCCATCTGCACCTCCCACAGCCTTTGTCTGAACCATGAGTGCCCTCTGCACACCAGGGGTATGGTCCCTCCGTCTGCCCTCCCAGGCTCCGCAGTGCTCGTCTCTTGCTATGGCTATCTCCAACCCCAGCAGTTGAGGACCCCTAAGGCAGGGACAGCCAGGGCTCAGCTTCCTCTCCCTTCCTTGCCTGCACTCCAGCCTGACCCAGAAGAATAAGGGGCTCCCTCAGGTCCGGTGGCACAACCTTAAAAGAGCACTTATGTGTCAAAGGAGGGAGCATGTCCACTCCTGGAAGTGCAGGCTGAGAAGGGTGACCTGCTGGTCTCTCACAGAGCTAGGGCCTTGGGGTCCTCTGCACTCCGTATCTTTCAGCTTTGCTGCCAGTCAAAAGGATTTCCTGCAGGGAGCCTCCTAGAGTACGCTTTATAGTTGTGTCCCCATGCCTCGGGGCTCCCTGCCTTCTGGGAACCTTTCTCTGGTTATAAATAAAGATAAAGGGCTATAAGCTGCCGGCAGGATTCAGAGGCAGAGTGCTGGCCCAGATCCCCTAGGGATCCTGAACCCTGAATTGGAAACAGGCCAGAGCCTCTGTGGTTGGTGACACCGTCAGGCTACACAGATGTCTACCTGCCAACCAAACCAGGGGAGAAGGGCCAGATAGGACTGATGTTTCAAGTGTCTTGGAGGGTCACAGGCCACAAAGGCAGCTGGAGCCTAGGGTGGCATCATCTCCATGCCAAGTCTGGCTCTCCTTATCACCTTAACCCAAGATTTAGGACTCAGCCAGCCACTTTCCCTAATGGCTTCCAGAATTCTCTTGCTGGAATGGTCACAGGCTCTTCCACCCCCTGGGTCTTGTCCTGCCACTTCTTCCAGCTTTTGCTTCCAAGCACCTCCTCTTCCTCCAGCCTCAGGTCACAGAGCTCCTTGTGCTCCTCCCTCCTCACAGGAAGCCTCTGATCCCTGTGCTATGGCCCAAAGCATCGGTGGTCCAGGGAGGGGGCTGCATCCATTTTGGTAGGCGTGCAGTGCTTGTTTCTGAATGAACAAATAGAGACATTGAAGGTGGACTCAAAAGGGCAAAAAAACTTTGGCAAGAGGGACTAAGGCGGTAGGCAGGCGTTCATATGAACTTGGGGCACGTGTGAACCGGGGGGACGTGTTCAGAGAACAGAATTTGGAACAGTGGGCAGGCTGTGGTAGCCTAAACTGCACCCCTGTGTGTGCCCTGGAGCCAGGACATGCTCCGCTGCGATAGGCTGCCTGCCTGCGGGGAGTGAGCCCCTGGCCCCGCCATATGCGGGCACAGACCTTCCATGTCATGTCCCACCTCAGCCTGCCTCTCTGCTGTGAGCAGGGATATGAAGGAGATGCAGGTCTGTCCCCATCCCGGGCAGAGACTAGACAGCCAGGTCCTATGGTCCAGGCAGAGGAAGAAAACAATGCCACCTGACCTGGGAGTCAGGGAGGATGAATTCTGCCAGTCCTAGGAAGAAGTCACAGGAGGGTCTTGCTGGGTTCTGAAAAGATGAGTGCTTAGGGACGGGGAGGGCAATTAGCACTCTTACCTGGGCAGCCTGCTCCTCCATGACTGGCCTGGACACTTTCTCATCCGCTCTGTATGGGCCCACTGGGCTTCGAATCCCATTTCTGCCTCTACAGGGCCGTGGGCAAGTCTCTTCCCCTCTCTGTGCATCCATGTTCTCTGAGAATCAGGAACAGTAAGAACTCTACCCCTAGCGTGGAGCTGTGTGTGCTTTAGCGAACCAGCACCCGAGCCCTGAGCTGGGGCCTGGTGGCAGCACATGCTGTTGTGTGGGGTAATGAGGCCACAGTGCACCCAGCCAGCCCTAAGCTCACCTCTGAGTATGGGCATAGGGTGGACAGGGTTCCCACACAGGGGCAGCCACCCAGGCCCATCAGTGCTGGCAATAGCCAATTAATTTATGGCAGAAAGGAAAGAGCCTGCTCATGCCACAGCCCTCCTGGAGAGCTTCCTGGAGGACAATTTGCAGTCCCCAAGCTTTGGAGCACTTCCTGCAGACAAGGCCTGGGCACTGCCCATGGGCCTTCAGGCATTAGGGGAAGAATTTGGGGAGCCTGACTCCCAGGTGTGGGCCCCCTTCTCTCCATAAGCACCCCTCTCATACAGAGTGCTCCAAGTGCTGGGGGACCATGAAGCAGGGTGCGCTGATTCCCCCATTCTCACTTGTCAGAGCCAAAGACTGTTTCCCACAGTGCCCTGCTAAGCCTGATAGGGACCTCTCAGTGTCCTGTCTGCCCCGGCTGGTGGGCAGCCATCTCACAAGCTCAGCTACCCCAGCTGGCTGCCCTCTAGCCCTCACTGTGGTCCTTTGTGAGGGCTAAAGACTTGGGGTGCAAGAGGTGTGAGGGGGACCCCAGGCCTGAAGGGACTCAGCATTCATGATTTTCAGCCCTATTAGGGAGTGCAGGGTGAGGCCTGTTTGGACACAGTGGAAAGGGTCCAGAAGGGCAGCCCCTCTTCCCGCCTGCTTAATCTCGGGCTTTATCATTTGGGAGTGAGGAAGAGAAATGTTTACATGGCCTTGCGTTTGTTTCAAATTATTCATCAGTGTTGGCGAGTCATTGTTCCCTGCTAGTGTAAACAGCTATGTCCCTAAGGCCAGCCACCCTGCCAGGTCACTGAGGGTTTGTAGATGTGTTACGTCAACTGCCCTTTGTGCTTTCAGTGAGGTGCAGAGCTGGGCCAGGCCAGATGGCTGCAGATGGGTGGCTCCAGGGGCAAAGCAGCATTTCTGCACTGAGTCCAGCGTTGGGGAATCTGGATCTACTTTGTTTGCCTCTCAGTTGAACCTCTCCCTGGGTGGGGAAGACAGGACACCAGGCAGAGAGCCTGAGAGCCCCAGGAAGACAGGCAGCAACCAACTGCAGAGGCCCATGGCTAGGTATGTGCCCTACCCGGGCATAGGTGCCTCCAGGGTCCTGTTAGGCCAGTGATGCTGCTGAGTCACTCAGTACTACTTGTAGCCAGCTGCCCTAGAACTGACAGCCATGTGCTCAGGTTGGCACCCAGGTTCAAGCTTGCAGGAAGAGAGCCATTTCTTCATAGCATTGGTCTGAACATATGCACAGTAGACCTTGGACTTGAGTCCTGCCTTCACTTTGCCCTTCTCATGGCTTAGCTCTGAGCCTTTGTGTCCTCATCTGTAACAAGATGTGTCATATGGGTTGCTGAGAGGCCTGGTGAAGCCTCCACCTGACACAGGGTGGAGGTGAGCTTTGTGTTATTAAGAGATGAGGAGGACAAAGTGTCAGGCCTAGAGCTGTTCATGTGCAGGTTGAAGGCCAATGCCACTGAGATGTGGAGGGGAGGCGGCCACTCACTGCATCTTAGGCCTGGCCCCAGTAAAGGTGCCATTGGCACTGGGCCTGCAGAGAGCCATCAGCAAGACTGTGTGGAGAAAAGTTTTGAAAACATGAATCCCCATCCCTCCTTCCGGGCTTCCCCGGGTCAGACTGTCAGGCTCAGGGTCTGATCACGCCGTGCCTCTCAGCAAGAGCCGCCTTTACATTCGAGCCTCAACCCCTGGTGACTTTTAGAGTTCAGAGCTCTGCTTCCCTCCTCTGGCTGCCACACGGCTGACATCTGAGCCTGCCAGAGAATAATGACAAGCCTCGCCTAGGGCCTCAAAGGCAGCCGCGGTCTCCTGGGTGGTAAAGTGCTCTGCTGTCCGAGGGCCTAAATAGGATCCAGCTGACACTGCTCCAGAACTGCGCTGTGCCAGGTTCATGGAAGGTCACTCTGCCGGCCTCTTCCCTTTCTCACATCCTTTTGGTCCCAGGAGTGAACTATGTCAGTGTTAGAACCGGCTGAAATCCTTAGTGCTGAAGTACATGTGCACGCGTGTGCTTATACACATGTGTGTGCGTGTGTGCATGTGTGTGAGTGTGTGTGTTGGGCATGGGGGACTGGCTAGAAGCAGCCAGTAGCTCACATTGTCATTGTGGTTTTATATATTTGCCTATTAAAATGACAATACAGCCATGGAACATTAAGGTTTAAGAAGCCCTTCTTTCATTAAACAAACTGACAGAGCCGGGCCTGTGGCTCCGGTAATTGAAACATGCTGCTGTCCAGACCAGAGCTCCATAAAGACTCTTTTCAGCCAGTCACACCCTTTGTGCCAGCAGCCTCTGGTCAAAAATGAGTGTCGGCACTGAGGTTTGTCCTCCCTCCCTCCCGGGGTGGGACAGACCTCTCAGCAGCCTCCCCGACAGTCCCAGCAGCCAGAGGTCAGAGTCTTTTCAAATCCTCCCCACCTTCTGGGCTTTTAAAATCCATCTGCCAGCCTGGACCTTAGGGTGGTGCAGGCTACCCTGGCCCCAACCTCCCCTTGGCTCCAGGGTCTTGTGCAGCTGGTTGTAAACTCGAGGAGGGCTACAGAGGGGTGATGGCCGTCTGTGGTCGGCGAGGCTCTGTGTTTTGTGGGAGACAATTTTAGCTGCATTGTCTTCCTGGAGAGGGGGGATCCAGTGATGTCAGGGAGAGCCAGGGTTTGGGAGTCAGTCTGCTAGGTTGGAATCCCATGTGGTACCTTGGGCAAGTGACTTTGCCTCTCTCTCTCTCTCTCATTTCATCAACTATAAATGGGTTAATATACAAACATGGCTGCAGGGTTGCTGAGAGATTAGAGGGATTGATATGGGGGAGACACAGAGCTGTGCTAGGCACCCAGGAAACTACTAGGGTCCGCCGCCTCACAGCTGTTGTCCCTGACTACTTCTTTGGAGTCACTCTGGAGAGCACCGTTGTTGAGTGTAACTGTGGCACCATGGAGTGCCTCAGAGATGCCATGGCATGTGTCTGGATACCCCCATGTGAGCTCCACCATGCAGCACGCCCAGGGGTGCCCCTCTGGCAGCACCAAAGTCCTCCCTGGGGGGGTCCTTCAGCACAGTCTAGAGAAATCGGTGGCATCAGTGTCCCGCCATCTCAGGTGGTGATCTCTCTCTGCCTTCTCTTCCTCTTCTCACAGATGTGGATGAGTGTCAGGACAACAATGGTGGCTGCCAGCAGATCTGCGTCAATGCCATGGGTAGCTATGAGTGTCAGTGCCACAGTGGCTTTTTCCTCAGTGACAACCAGCACACCTGCATCCACCGCTCTAATGGTGAGTACAGCCTCTTCCGAGCGGGCACACCGCCAGCCCCACAGAAATAGGCGGCCCCCAGAATCTCTCTCTCCACATGTGCTCTCCAGGGGCCCTAGAGTCAAGGGAGTTTGGACAGGTGGCCTGTCTTGTGCTTCTGGTGTTGGAAACCTTCTGAGCTTCTTTCCTCTGGCACTACACCAGGTTGTGGGGATTTCCACTGTGTGTGTATGGAGACAAGGGGACACAAATGGCAAATATGATCCCCTTCTCCAAAGGGGGCTCGAGGTCTGTAGGCCTCGCCACCTTCCTGTCTCTGAGTCTGCATGCTCACTGGGGTACCAGCCTGCTGAATATCCTTGTGATTGGAGCCTGCTGCCCTCTGGAGGCCAGGTGGCATGGCAGGCCTGCCTGTGAGGTGCAGAGGGACCAGGAAAGATTCTGGCCAGAGGGGGAGCAGGCCTAGCCTGGGACAGAGCCTGGCCACACGCCAAACCCAGCACATGGAGATACTTGGTGTCAGGGCACTGGTGATCAAATCCTGAAGTTTGGGCCTAGGAAAGTGGGCTTGTAGGACAAGCTCCCAGGGAGAGGGGCCTTATGTGCAAAGACAGGGGATTTTCTCTTGGCTAAGACAGAAGTAAGCGCCAGAGTCCCTGGTAGGGCTGTGGGCTGCAGCAGAGCCAGTCAGGAAGGCAGTGGCCAGAGCCAAGGCTCTGGAGGCCTGGCTGTTCTGAGTGGTCAAGGAAGATGTGAGGAAAAGGACAGGCCAGCCCCACTGCCCCTTCCCCATCACTGACCCTCGAGCAGGAGGCTGGAAGCCCAAGGCCAGGGCGTGGGCTGTCTCTAACACCAGACCCCAAGGAGTGGCTCACACAGAAGGCAGGGGTCAGAGAGGGCCAGTTGGACCAGCCAGAACGCAGCCCCCACCCCATCCCTGCCGTTCCTCAGGCAACTCCCTGAACTTCTCTGAGCCTCAGCCTCGTCCACAAAACAGGCCCATGGTGCTGACCAGCAGTGTCGGAGCTGGAAGGAGACCTGCATCCAGTGGAGGGTGCAGGAGGCCTGGTGCTCCCTGGGAACCTGGGTGTAGTCTTGTTAAGAAAGGTCTTGTCCTGAGAAGGTGAAGGCGAAAGCATCCAGAGTGCAGAGCTCGGCGACAGAGCGCTCATGCCTCAGGGAGCGCCTCAGAATCTATTTGTTCTGGTATTTCTTCACAGTCAAGTCAGGCATACTGGTTGCTGACCTGGCAGTGTCCCCAGGAGGACCTAAAAGATGGGCTCCATGGCTCCCAGGTCCTTGCTGCACCGGTATCATGCAGATGCCCACAGCCACCCCACAGGCCCATGGGCACATCTGGGCTGGCAGCAGTTCATTGGGCACCTTCCAGACCTCGGCTGTGGCACTGTAGGGTGGAGCTGCCCACGATGGAGTCCAAATTGGCGTTAGAGACGTGTTAGAAGCATGTCTGTGGAGAAGGAGTGTGGGAGGGAGAGTCCAGCTTTCCTCAGGGAAGGGGCTTCCCCAGGGTGACTGCTTCTGGTAGCTGTGACACTCCTGAGGCCAGGCTCCTGAGCACCTTTTTAGCACACGCAGGTGGTGTGTGCTTGTTCCTCTGAAGAGCACCTTTCTCCCTGGCAGATGCTGGAGGGAACTGAGACCCCTAGTTAAAATAAGATGGGCAGGAAAGACACAAGCAAGAGACCAGAGGGCCTGTTTGTCACAGGGACCTGTTTGGCCAGTCGGCATCACTGGGCTGAGGTGTCGGCAGGGGCAGTCAGGGGAGTTGTTGGTGTGGGGAGCCCATCAGGAGCTGCTCCACTGCTGTGAGGCTGAATGCTCCAGCTTCCCAGCTGCCCTCAAGGGAGGCGGGCTCAACCCTGTTGATGGGGAGGAAATGGAAGCCAGTCAGGTTAGGAAGACAGAGTTGGAGGGGAGCCCAGGCACTCTTGCTATGGGGTTCGCTGTCCAGGACGTAAGACTACTGAGGAAAGAAACAGGTAGTGAGACACATTAGCCAGAGCTTCCTTCTTGAAGAGGAGACCACATTTGTGCAGAAATGGAATGTTGAGAAAGCACCACTTGGAAGTTTAGGGGCAGTATATAGGCAGGGCCTGTGCAAAGGCCCTGAGGTGGGAAGTCACTTTGTGCAGAATAAAAGGCATGCATGATGGTGGAGAGCAGTGAGCAACAGGAGAAGAGCCCGGGATGAGGGTGCTAGAGGGGCCTGAGCCCCGGTGTGCTGGTAGGCCATGGGCAGGAGTTTGGTTTTGTGCATAGGGAAGCCGTGGGGAGCTTTTGAAGACTATAGAAATTAAGCCATAGGGAGAGTAGAGGGATCTAGGAGGCTCTGGAACTACCAGGGGCTGGGCCTCAGGTGAACTGTGCACTGGCTGAAGTGTGGTGTGACCCTGGGCATGTGGATCACTCTACCCAAAGGCCCCTGGGGGACCATATCCTGATTTTTAAGTGAAATCAGAAATCCAGATTTAATCATAATACAGATGTGGAGGCTTCAACCCCTCTCTGCATTAACTGATGTGTTAGTTTCAAGAAGACATTTCTTTCATTAGGATCTTTGGTGGAATCTCCAATTTGTAAATCTGAGCAACGAAGCAAAAAGAGAAAAACAAAAACCCCAGAGAACTTCTTTGGTGCCTCCCAAAGCATAAGCAGGAGCATTGTGGCAGAGGCTGTGTGGAGGGGCCAGGGCTCAGGACGAGCTCACTGGACACAGACCACCTGCTCATCAATGCCCGGGAAAAGACAGGGACTTGGGTGCCTGGCAGCTTGCCCACCTCTCTGAGCCTGTGCTTTAATCAGCATTTTTATTGCTGTGACCAAAAGACCTAACAAGAAATAGGAGAAATTTTATTTCATTTATTTTTCAGTTTCAGAGCTTTCAGTCCATAGATGATGACTCCATTGTTCAGGCCCAAGGTGAGACAGAACATCATGGCAGAAAAGTGTATAGGAGAAAAGCAGCCCAGAACCTGGCCACCAGGAAGCAGAAAGATCCCCTCTCACCAGGGACAAAATATAAACCCCAAAGGCACACCCCCAGACCTGCCTCCTCCAGCCATACCCTCCCTGCCTGCCACCATTAACCTCCCAGTTAATCTATATCAGTGGGTCAGTTAAGTCTCATAATCTATAATCATTTCACCACTAAGGTTCTTGTGTTGTCTTGCAAATGAGCTTTTGGGAACACCTCACGTCCAAACCATAACAGCCTCTCTATAGTTGTGACAGTTGCTTACTACTAGTGCCAGTCACAATAAAGACTGTTATAGCTCACGATCAGAGCCTGCCTGGAGGTGCTAGGACTGAGCTTGTTTTGCACTCAAGTGACCTCTGATTCTGTGGCTCCTGAGAGTGATGGATCCAGAGCCTTTTGCAAATTAGATTCCCTTGTGTCACTTGATTCCTCGAATGCCTGTCTAGCTCTCTGGGGCCTCCCAAAAACAAGGTGGGGCGGGGCACACAGGCTGGTTTTGTTTACATGGAGCTAATGCATGAGGGGAGTCAGGCAGGGTCAGTTCAGACTGCTGCTGAAAAACAAGGTCATGGACTGAGCCTTCCGAGTGGCCCCACTTCCCAGGTGCCAGCACATATTACCTGAGACTCTAGAGCTGTCCCAGGCTCCCAGCTCTAACTCTCTGTGCAGTCTCTGCAATCACTCCTGCTTCTTTGGGTCTGTTTCCTGTAATAGGGGCCCAGGTACCCCTCTGTGGCCAGAGGGTACCATCAGGGAAGTGCTGGCAGCAAGTACAGCACATGCCCCTAGAGGTAGGACACATGTAGATAGTTTCTCCAGGTCTTTAGAACACAGGTTTGATTTGGAGACACACCCAGGCTGCTTCCTGTCCTTATTAAGTGAGAGGAGACCCTGAGTTGTTGAGTCCTGGCCGATCCCTCTGCCCAGCCCCTGGCCCAGCAAGTGCTGGCTACCCTTGGTTTGGCCCACAGCCAAGACCATGAGAGCCAGCCCTGGCCTCTGCTGCTCCTGGCGGTGCCTGGTTGCCCAGAAGCCAGTCCCTCCACCTCTCTCCTTCTCTCACACTAGCTCTCTTATCTTTAAAATATGTCATATTTATGCTCCAAGAAGACTTTGCTTTGGGGATGAAGGTTCCCAATGAAGAATTTCTTCTCAGGCTCTGCCAGCATCAGTGGGGCTGGAGAGTTCTCTGGAGGCCTAGTGACAGCAGGCTCAGACTTCCTTCTCCGCCCTTGGTGCACTCACTCGCCACCCGCTAGATACTCAGCGACCTCCGACCTCAGGCTTGGCTCTGGCGAAGCTCAGTCTAGTAGGGGACGGAGTGCCGAGTAAGGGTCTGGGAGTTAGGATCTAGGAATCAGAGCCAGGAAGGCAAGCCCCAGAGCTTCTGTGGTTTTGTGGCTTCAGTTTTCTCAGAGCCCTCATTGTGAGTGGGGAGGGAGGGAAGAAGAGTACGAGGTGACAAGTAGTATGGAGCATCAGAACAGCACTCAGCTCACCACAGTGCCACTGCTCTCCTGGGCATCTGCCCCACAACAGGGTGCCTATACCGCACACATGCAGGCTCCTGTTCCTCTGGCCAGGACGCTGCACATTGATCTGAGTGTGTTTCATGGTCCGATTAAAGTTCTGCTGAGTTTGTTTAAACACTTGTATAAACTCCGGTAGGAAACTCCATTGCCCCTTCTCCACAGTACTCCTGTGGGACTCAGGGCCATGTGTCCACAAAGGTCAAGGCTTGGCATCATGAGTGACACTGGCTCTGGCCAGATTCAGGGAGGTCCAGGAGTAGGAGAACCTGGCTTCCAGAACACCTCCCCTGGATGGGCTGGTGGTGGGGAGAAAGCTGCCCAGCAAGAGCAGCCCTGAGCACAGTCCCTGTGTTCCCTTGCCACATCTTCATGGTGCCCCACTTTCTAGAGTAAGTAACTGAGACTCTGAGATGTTGAGCAGCTTACACAAGGTTACCAGAGGCATTGAGGGACAGTGCTTTGCCAGTCTGGCCCCAAGGTCCAGGCTTCTG